GCATACCCGAAGCCGCATAATATCGTCTCCGACGGCCGCTTTTACTCTCCGGCCGCCATATCTGGCGACCGGACGATGACGACGACAACGACGGATTTCTCGCTCCAATTAAACCGACGGCGGCAACATTGACTTTTACGCGCGTCGTCGCCACCGGACCGTAAAGAAAATCTGATAGCGACCGTGTAGTAAAATTGCATATAGGCACTACATAGCGGCGACTGTACGTCTTGTTGTCGGTCACACTGCAACATTATAATATTATTAATAAGGAAATATGTGCGTCCGGCGCGGACGAATCCGGGTCGACGCCAGTGGAGAGACTACATAACATACCAATATAATAATCGATAATACTGTATCGTCAGGCGCGCCGGCTAATCTGTACACAACAAACGAATACGAAAGTTTACAAAAACAAAAAAAAATTTTAAATACTATCACTTCAAATTGTATTACCTATATTAACGAGTCGTGCCTAAATAATAATCCGGTACTTAGATTACTTAGTTGAGACTTGTTTTCCGTTTCGTTAACCGCGGTCGAGTCGTCGTCGTTATAATAATTATCCGCGTTCATTTAATGAGCATAGGTACAAGTAGTAGAAGTGGTTTTTATTTTATTTTTTTTTTTTTGAATGCACAGCGATCCGATAACCGATTTCTATTCCTGAAAAGTTCTACAAATTTGGATCCAAATGCAAGAAACGGATACGGATATCACAACAAATAGCGCATAAATACGCAGTAATATCAGTATAAAATATAATTTCCTAACAATGCTATTCTAGACATTTTGTTCCTTTTTATGTTATAATATATATTATAATTTTTAGTTTTTCACGTTATTTTTTAAAAATTTAGCCTGATGCAGTATTACATTTTAAATATGAATCACTGAATACAGAAAAGACACACGGTGAAATTTAAAAATTTGCTATCTACGTCACACAATCGCGTGACATAGTAAATTTTCGTTTAGCAAGGACAACTCTGTGCTGTTAATATTAGAGTGAATTGACCTATTATGAAACTATTCAAACTTAAAAATTAGAACATGATCTATTATGTCGCGTAAGCATTTTTAAATTGTGATTTTTCACACACTCAAATCTCGCTTAAAAATTAAAATTACAATAAAAAAAAAAAAGCTGATACTGGAGGAGGAAGCGGCCACCATTGTAGGTGAGAAGTTGAAAAGATACAGATATATATCCGAGCGCAGTTCGGGAATACATAATTTGAAGTGCCGTATTATTACTATTTTTTTTTTCGATTTTCATTTCAATTTGATTTCAAAACGCTTATTAGAAAAAAATGAAAAAGTTTTCCAATTATTTTGTAAATCCAATATAAGTATTATTACAAAATTTCAAGTCTCTACGTTTGTTTATAACCGAATTAAGACAAAAAGTTCCCAAAAATATAAATTCCTTAAAAGCGTGTGGCTCAAAAGTTTTAGCAATGATACCATAAGAAAGTAAATCAAAAGGGCAACATAAAAGGTATTGTGATTTTTCGATTAAATCATTTTTTCTAGTAGAAAACGTTATCCGTGTTTTTATAAAATAATGAAATCTTGAAATTGTACGTTCCTACGTTTTTTTTTCCACTTAAGTAATTTTATTTAAATAATATCGTCGAAAATCAAAAAAGTGACTTCTTTAAAGTAAAATTTAGACAACTCGAACTTTCAGAAAAAGTGCTACACTTATACAATGGAGCCAGTTTACTAGGAAAAAACGTGTCCACAAACTAGAAAAAAAAAGAAATAAACCTCTTAGTAAAACCAATAGATCCCTTGCTACGCTAGGAATCAGAAATTACACAGAAAAACACGATACAGAAAATTTTCTTAACTTAAAGTTTGTTAATAGTTTGTCAATTCACTATAATATTAAAACTAACATCACAGAGTTGTCCTTGCTGAATGTAAATTTGAAATATCACGTGGTTGTATATAACGGAGCCAACACATGCTGGTATTGCGTCCTCTTAAGCACTTAAAATTTTATGATAGTCCATAAAACTACTGTACAAATATATTTATGAAATTTACAATACCATAACAATGGTCATTAATATGACTTTTGTTTTTTAATTTATTTTAAGTATTGAGTATTTATATCCATCTTGAAAAGTTTTAAAATTTAAACGTGTGTCCTTATTTTTGAATTTAGCATTAAACACGTTCCTATCTCGACCTTTTTTAATAAAGACTGATATGAGAAAAAAAAACTTTTTGGGCTAATACAGTTATATTGTTTATTTCATCAATCCAGTCCAACACTAGTCTTTATTTTTTCTCTTCACTGTAGGTTAAGCCCAAACTCGGCTTATTCTGTTAACACACAAAAAACATTTGAAAATCATTTGTTTAGTTAAATAATTTAAATAATTAGGAAATTGTTCGTAAAACTTTTCAAATAAAATCTGTTTTGTTCAATTACGTAGTAGCTTACCAATATAAAAAAATGCAAAGTCCCTATTGTAATGTTCCATAAAAAATCGCAAAAACGATTGTTACGAACAATGTTTGAGAGACGAAAAAACCGTGATCTCGATTATAACCATTAATGGGAAAAATATACAGCAATATGCATCAAAATCCGAGCTCCGGGCATGTGCCTAAAATCTACCTACACCAATAAATTTTCAAGCCACCGAAAACCACTTAAAATCATAATATATTGCAGAAACAATAAAACGCATTTTTCGAATTTTTATATTTTGTATTGTATGCAATAAAAAATACGTATACGATAAAACGTTTAGCACCGGTATACAAAAAACGATTTTTACACATTGCATTTGATAGACAATGCTTTTGACGCAAATTCTGCGACCGGTAGATATTCTTCAATCAAACAATATCTTTATATAATATAGACTTAAAATGTACAGGAAAAGTAAAAATATACAAAAGCATAACAATAATACGAATAGACTTTTTTGTCATTTCAGTATTCTATTTAATATCCAACAAGTTTAAATCGCTATCAAAGTCTAATGTATACATGTATGACAAATTTACAAACGGCATCAACAAAATGTCACGGACATTCCAACGTCCGTGTTGGATAATATTTCGGGTGAAAATAGATTTCCGTGAATGCGATTAGTTTTAATATTTGCTTGGGGCGGCCGTAAACAAGAATTAGATGTTTTTTTTTTAATAACTAATGTTTAAAGTGCATATTTTAAGATATTTAAATGCATAAATACTTACCTTACATATTTAGTACTTTTTTTTTTAGAGCTACGTGTTCTCGGTTCTAATTTGTACGATCGACACTACCTTTATGTCTAGTGAAAGTGTAAGTTATCGGTGAAAACTTCAATAATTTACGATAACTTATGATAATTTTTTATTGAATTACAGAAATCCATTAAGTAAGTATTCTGTTTTCTGCGGATTTTCCCTATTATTAATAAACTTACAAGAAAAATCACAATATGACCTCTAGACACATCAAGACGTGATTGGTTACCCACCAGAAACTATCCCCGAAATCGATTGCAGCAAGATCTCTAGTCAAAATCTTGTTTATATGTACAACAACGAAAAATAGATTATAATAATAATTACATTTATTGCACGCATCGTGGTAAAACGAATACATTCGTCGTTTCGTTCGGAATTTAAAAGCAAATCAAAATATAAATTTCTTCTATTGCATATTAAATGTGATAACGTTAGACTCTGTTCGATTAATTAATTAATTAATACGCAGACGAGATCGGATAAGAAATAACTAAATAAAAGCTAGGTTAGTCTAAATATCTATTCAGCGATTAAAGTAAAAGTGTACTGTAGAGCATTTAACTGTTATACACAAGTATGTACATTTCCAACATATTGTTTCAAACAAATAAGTAAAGATGGTCTATATGTTTGGTTTCCTTTGCTCCTGCACCATCAATCTCAATATTACATAGGTTAGGGTACTTAAGCCTTCGACCTTTAAACTGGTATCACCGACCACTGCAGTCATACAGTATTATACGTACCTACCTACTAGATATTATACACTATTATCAATCTTTATAAATCTCGTATTTCACAACAACCTCGTGTAACCGTGTTTTTTATATACCTGTATCATCACGGGGTCACACAAATCGTTTTATCGAAAGTTCATGGTACTTGAAAACCACATAACAAAATAGACACATAAATTATGTTGAAAATGCCGACTCCTCGATCATATAAATGATTTAAATCTCAAATCATTCTAAAATCTATACATAACCTTCTAACCTTATAACCTTCTATACATCATTATTTTCTCTCTTTTTTTTAAATTCTGACTGTAACGTGTATAATTGAATTTTAAGACATTAACTACTTGTTTTTTTAGCACTCCAACATGTGTCACAACAAGATTTTAAAGTGATTTTCATAATTTTCATTCAAGAGTTATCATCTACTGAACCTAATATAAATGAGTATAAATTTAGAATAATGCAAAAAAAAGAAAGGTAAAAGAATGGGGACGGGTTTAGCTACTGGTGTAGGTGAAAAGTTGGGAAGATAGGATATAGACGGAAATTTAATGTATATTTGTAAGCAACGATAAACTATTGCTTACGAAAAAACAATTCTGAGCGGAGTTCAGTTGATAGTGATGTTTTGTCAACAATATATATGTCATTTTGTAGTAAAATAATAAACAGGCTTTATATATTTTCTTTAATAAAATTTGTTTTTAAAATACCTCACTAGTGAAATTTTCTTTCATAAATGATGCTACACGTAGAAATCCGAGCAATTCTTCTGGTAGAAAAATTACACATAGATAAAAAAAAAAAAGGAAAAAAATCTTTGTAAAACTATAAGTTTCTTCACTCTACTCAGAATTTAAAATGGGTGAAACTTCTGCTGCATAAACACTTTCGAGGTTTAGATTTAGTTTATGTGTTTCCACATTAGAAAAAAATTCTTTACCTCAAAATAATTAAAAAATAAAAAAACACGACTTGGAATTTGTACTGATTTGGTCTTGATTTTCAAACTCTAAATTAATGACTATATCAAAATTTGCACCTTCGTTTTCTCAATACCTTGCACCCATCTTATCAGAGATGGCCCTGTTGTACAGTCTGTTTGCCAGTCAAATTGATCCCTCAGTTTCACTTATGATAATATAACACCATCTACCGATTTACTATCAAATTTCTCATTAGATTATTTAACTCATATTTATTATCACTTGAGTTCTACGCTTATACACTGGATTTCTAGTGGGAAATCGACGGGCTGGGGGGAGTGAAAAAATGATTCCCAAATGTTTCTTTTTGTACAATGGTATTTGTAACAGCTACATAGTACCTTTGAAACATTTTATATTCGCTAACAATGTTCCCAGGGTTTTCATGAAGAACATTTAGACATTACTTTTACATGTTTCATTTCATAGCTATACCATCCACAACCGCGACTTAAACATCCTGAAGTTACACGGTATAATAATAGAATGTAATATAAAAAAATAATACCACGTGGGAAAGCGATTCTTTTTCCGGGCAAATCAAGGAGGACCCAGAAGATATGGATAACTGAAACGAATAGTCAGTGACCGTTTAAAATGGAGAACAAGACGCTGTAAAGCAACCTACGGGTTAAAAAAAATTGTTTGCACTAGACCACTCTTTTTTTTAGCACCATTTAGTTTAAATAATATTAAAACAAACATTGCCGTTTAAGAATAAATAATATAAGGGATAAGGACTTTTAGAAAGGTTTCAAAAAATAACACATCAAACGTTTACAAGATATTATTAATTTTAGTTCATATATTTTTCATGTTTTTTTTTTAAATACATAATAAAAATATCAAACAAAAATGCCTTACACATATGCAAATAGGTAATCTTTATAATATTATTATGTTTACGTTACCTATAGTACATAATTATAATAATTTGTTATAATAATCGCATATGAAAATTGCACTAGGTCAGCCCTGATAATCCGAGAAAATATAATTTTTTCTCAATAATTATATTTCATTTCTTAATTTAACAAAAAAAAAAAAAAAAAAAACTAAAGAAACTTACATACTTATATAAATGTCAACAGTCCATACATTTTATAATAGTATAACTACAATAATTTTATATTATACTAATTACATTTTTTTTCTGTGTTTGTGATTTTTTCGTAAAATTAAATTAAAATCGGTAAATCGCTTTTTTAAAATATTTTCTTAAAAATAATTACCTTTTGTTTTTTTTTTTCATTTCAAAAAAGAATCTAATACAATAATAATAAAATATATTTAAAAAAAACAATTCAACATAAACCAATTTAATAAAAATAATATATTATAAATATCATTAAAAATAAAGGCACGGCGCACATTGTTGTGAAAAAAATCAAAATATGTTTGTAAACTATTTTTGGACGATTTTGCGGAACATAATATTATTACGAGTTAGTTAAAAATTATGAGTTGGTTTATATTATTGAGCATTTTATCAATTTAAAAAAAAATATTTAGTTCACCTGCGAGCGTTACATTCGTTTGAATCCGGTACCTATAGTTAATAGTAAAATAATAATTTCGAGGAATATATATTTTAAGAAAATAATCAACAAAAAAAATATATATATATATATATTTTGTATATTTTATACATTCTACAGTATTATAGATGTCTAAAACGACTATGGATAACCGAATGTACGATAGAGTCCCGTTAAATGATAACACCGTGAAGTTTAGTACATTATTATCAAGAGGGCAGCACGTTGTATCGATTAACCAACGGAATGTTTGATTATGCCATGATGTATGTGATAATGTAATAATATAGGAAGCAAGTATTATAGATTCGAAAGAAACGATTTTAAATATTTTCGTACATGTAATCACGAGTGTTTATCTCATAAAATTCGTGGCATAACAAATACAACATGAGTCGATAGATAAAATTCGCCCTTATGGTAATGATAGGATGGTCACCGGGATTCCTGTTTACTCGTACTAAATCGAGACTGTCTTGTTGTTTTTATACATAGGCTATATGGAATAATTGCGTTATTCAAACTACACACGAAAATAAACTACACATTAATACAATGAAATTATCGTTACAGACATACGCGTATATTATAGAATATTTAAGTAATAAACAATATAATATATAATAATAATAATAATAATAATAATAATAATAATATAGTAAAAATAATAACAAAAGCGCGGGGAAAAAACGACCGTCGGCTTCTTCCGCGGGCTGTACAAACAACTTTATTAAAATAATAACGTTAACAATACTGATGACGGATCCGGAAATTTGCGTAAAAAACAAGTCACGGAAAATATCATCGAAATCGACGAATTGGAATTTAGGTATACCTACCACGAATTTCAATATGGAGACGGGCTTCCATAACTTCCCTAGAACGTATAAACGGAGCGCTGTATGATAGAATAAAACACCGAACAGTGATTAGATTTGGCTAGACTAGGATTACTGAGAAAATTAATAAATAAAAAAAATCTATTGGTGTATGTGTCATTATTTTACAAATCCACGTATCCTGCGATAAGAAAAATAAAAAAAAATTATTAATAAACACCATTCTTCAGAGATCACGACAACTTTATTGGTTATCTAGGATTTTCTTTGATTACAATGAAAATGATAACACGGCCCTTCCATATCTTTATTTTCTACGGTCACAACTCGAGAAACCAATCCTAAAGGAAAACATTGATAAGACACTTCAATGGCCCAAGTGCAGTATGCAACAAATAAATAATAAAGATATGAACGGGTCATGTTATTTATTTTCACAGATGATCAAAGAAAACGCTAGATTACCATTAAGGTTGTAGTGTCCGCTGATAAATGGTATTCAATAATTATAAAGCATATTCTTATCGCGTATCAGGGATCTGGGCATATTAACAGTAACTATGGATGATGTAGCAAGACAGCTTTGAAATACGATGGATTTATGAAAATAAGTGTAATTGTTAAGACGATAGCAGCGCTCCTAGTGTCATCTGCGACAAACTAATGTCATTATTTCTTTTGTTTTTTATCATAGTATTATCTATATTTATAGTTTATGCATATTTTAGGAGATTGTCGCTAGTGGCCATGTCACAATTAATGGTAAAGGTTCATGACTCTGTTATCAGATGATCGTTCCATAAAACGTTAATTCGTGGTATTCATACCTACCGCTTTTGGACACGAAAATAATAATGGCGTGACAAAAATATTATTATGATGCGAGTTAAAAATTGTAATTTTGTCGTGATCTGGAAATTGTGTTTTCCAAACTTATGATAATATACTCTACTGTGTGGGGAAAAAAGATAACAGGTAACAGTCAATTTTGAGACTTTTATGTCAAATTCTAAATTCTGGGTTAAACTTTTTTCTTTTTTTTTTTTTTAATCTTATACCTCCTTCTTTCGAGTTTTTTTTTACTGGGGGGGGATATTAAAAATACCAAAACTGATTAACTGTTATCGTTTTTCCCCGTTCCACACGGTCGTATTGTGATTATTATTATCATAAATAATAAACGGTTTAGGCCGTGTCTTGTCGGATAAAAATACTGTTGCAGTTAGTGTTTGTGTGTGTAAGGGTGGTGGTGGACGGACTTAAGGATTGCAGGGCGATCTGGAACGACGGCGATGGGGAGTTCAGGACTGGCCCGACGATTGGTGTCCCGGGCTAGGACTGTGCCGGCCGACGCCGCGCGACTGGGCACTTCCGTGACAGTGGGCGCAGTGCATGCACACCGCGCAATTGCCTAACTTCTGGGCGAGCACGGCGCGGAACTTGAGCGCCGGGCCCAGCTTCATGTTCATGGTGCCGGTCAGGTGATCCTCGCTGAGCAGGGGCAACGCCGTACCGTCGATGGACTGCTCCCGGAAACACTGAAAGACGAAAAAAACAGAAATCAGTACGTCAGTATCACATTACAATGTAATCATTAATATGTATAGGTGAATGAATAATCGATAAATTTTACAATCACAATATTAATATACATTTTTTAAAAACTTTTTTTTAGTTTTCTGATACCGAATATTCAACGATATTCGTTTCTAGTAAAACCCACTTGAAAACATTAAAACAAATACAAAACATTGTTAAACCATCCCTTAATCACGAAAATCGTTTTTTCATAAAATGTGAGTGTGTTTTTTGTTTAATAAAAGGAAGCCCGGTGGCGCCACTGGCGGTAAGTGAAAAAGTAAAACTGAATGACCACCCGAAGGACGGACAATAAAACGTATACCTAGGTAGTTTTATTATGTTTCCTCCCCCCCTCCTCCATAACAAGAAACATTACGAATAATAATACTCTACTCAGAATCGTTTTTTGTTAGCGACTTGATTCGTGGTATATAATTATTTTTATCATTACAGACATAAATAATTAAATTACTCTATATTGAAAGGGAAGATCCTTCCAACTGCCCTGTTAAAACATTGGCGCAATCATAATTTTTTTTTTTTTTGACCGCCCTAACAAATAATATGTATTATAATGTGTGTATTTTTTGTTTATTGGTTGTCTCTAAAATGTTGGTTTATACCATCAGAAAAAAAAAAACACCTTCGAAAAGTATGAAATTATCGTCGTCGTCGTCGAGTCGATTCGATTAACGGACGGGTACGATTGACGTTGTCCGGTTTCTCGCGATGAATATTTTAATAGTTATTCAACGACGACGACAAAATGTATACGAAAATAACGACACGTCACACGTCCGTTGTCGTCAGTGTCGTCGAGAAGAGTGTCAAATGGTTTAGAATGAAAAAAAACCTTTTTTTATTTTTTTTGACGCCCGTGCAGTTCGCTGCACGACGATGTCGTAACGAGACCACGACGACGACGCCTCTGATATTTGGCACGTCTGCCTGTTCACCAGTAAACGTCAAGGACGCTAACGCGTTATTAATAATAATATTATCATCATTATTATCATTGTTATTATCATTATTATTGTTGTTGTTGTGTGTTTTTTTTTTCGTATTACACACACGAGATCCAGGCGGAAAGATCGGATTTTATCGCGGTCTCTTGCACGCCTACCTGCGCCGCCGTTAGAAATTATTAATTTTTCAAACCGAAGCGACACGATATTAACACCGACCGGCCTGACGCGCAATATAATGTGTACCGTATATGATCACGAACGATAGATTATTTCACGAAAATGTTGAGAGTATTTCGAGATTACATTCAATGGTTTTGGTTTTCGAAATGTATAATAACGAGCGGGTTTACAAAAAAAACGCATGCAACCGGTATAGTCGCGTATACTAATTTGAGACGTTGCACTCCAAGCCCAAGAACAGAGACTCGTAGTGATTGAGCGAAAACTCCTAAGACGAATATTGTATGTGGACAGTGTTTCGACATCGACGCGAGGTGGAAATGTAAAAATCGCCACAACGAAGAGCCGTGAAATTTGTTTCAACGAACAGTTAATAATAATTACAGAAATTAGGAACGGAAGAATGGCATCTTGGCTGACGGACAACAGGCCTGGAGGAAAAAAATATACCGCACTTTTTGTTTGTATAATTCGGCCTAATATTGTATAATATTATTGCTCCGCTTAATTTTTGGTCTAAATCACATAATAGAGTGTATATGTTTTCGAAAATTAACATGCGTGCAGTAAATTAATTTATGTACAAGCATAGGTGTTTTCAAAATCCAATTCGCCTGTATTGAAGAAAACCTATACACAATTGATTTGATTCGCGAGACCAAAGAAACATAATATTATGTAAATCGTCTGAGGATAGAAAAAAAGAAACACCTTGTATACGGCCCGTTGTGAGCCGAGTTATAATAATACGGTCGTAGTAGTAGTAGTAGTAGTAGTATTGTCGATATAATACTTAAGTCCCGCCGCTTTAATGACATGCGATTGTATCACTGTAAAAAGTAATTTTTTTACTGAATGAAATATTACGTTTTGTTGTTTTATTATTACTTTTTTTTTTTATGTATTTTTTTTCTTTTTTTTTTTTTTCGTAACATCCTGGTATTCTTCTGACAATGAGAAAACCACCTGACTGTAAACGAACCGTACATGGATGCGCGGCGTACGAGTATTATACGTGTGTATAAAACTACAATTATTATCACGTATACACAAACGAGATTATATTTTTATTATTTTCCTTTTCAACAAAAAGATTTAAAAAAAAAAAAAAAAAATACTATTGTAGCCTACGATTATTCGAATAAAATAATATTATAATATATAAATTTATGTGCATTCTATCCGTTTTCATGGTATCGTTTGGTTGGATTCACTACATGAATAAGTGTTTTTACAGTGTTTATTTTTAATCATTTTTTCTACCTGCAGTATTCGTGCTCCAATCAAAAACTTAACCGTTACTTAAAACGTAACTTAAACGGAAAAAAAACCGGCAATTCATTTTCCTTTTAATTCTCGTCAATTCCTCGTTTACTCAGGTATAATAAGGGAAAAATTCAACTGACAATACTCTGCAGCTCAGAATCGTTTTTCGTTACCAATACGGTTTGTCGCGGCGCGTAGACACAGACTAAATTATAGATAAAATCGCAGTATCGAATTTTTCGCGTGAAAACAAAAAAATTCCTATATCGAATTTTCACCGAGTTATTACAATAAAACTATAATCTGATCAGGTGGATCACGACGACTGCCTCGCGTCCGTGCTCTACTTATCGGCGACGTACATCTGCCCGGTATGCGTGCGCGCCTTTATCACAAAAACAAATAATATAATATTATTACAATAAACGCTCATAAACAATACTCGCGAGTTTCCCCCCCCCCCATTCACTTACCCCGTCGTTATTATATCACATATCGTGTTTTGTAAGAAAATAAAAACATATAACGGTCGCGCGCCAACGACGTCAGGTTTACCTGCGAACGAACAAACCGAACGATTGGAGCGCGGACAACATTTTAAGGGCGTTAAATTTGCCACTAATTAAAAAAATAAATAAAACCTAGTATTTTTTGAGGTACTCGTTTGTATTGACTCGTTCACAAAAAAATTCTCCCGGGGAAGGCAGATGATATCGTATCTACAGACACTTGACATTTTCTTCCTTGACGCCGTATCGGGTTCGGAGTTTGGACGACAATTTGATTTTTCGACCTATTTCTTATCACCCGGGTTTAAGGACTGCGCGTATCCCTGCGGTCGAAGACCCCGGATGTAGCGATTTATTAAACTTAATTTAGGTTTTGATCTATGATTATTTTTTTTTATTTTTATTTCCTTATCGGGTGTAACTGATGCCATCACGATAATTGTATAGTTATGTCAGTATGTCACGCGTCTCGTCTGAGGTGATAAGAAGTACAGACGTTGTTTGAACAAATAGCCAATACTGCAACACATACGATAAGCCTCAAACTGTACGCTATATTTTTTTTTTTTTTGTTTAACTTCTCTCGCGGGGCTATTAACGGATATAGACAGAATCTACGTAATTTTTGTTGTGTACATTATCATATGCTAACGATATTTCTAGTGGTGAGTACCGGTCGATATTGTGAGAATAAGGTATTATCGAGTTTTGTGTCTCAAAATCGATATGCGACCCGATATTTTCGAAAAAGAAATACATCTGGAATATGATAAAAAGCGTTAAAAAATAGGGTTATCAACCGATATATCAGTTAATTTCAATTTCGACTCGAGGTTTTCGATTTTAAAAACCGGGTCGGGCACAACAGTTTTATATCGATATCAAATATGACGGGTATTGGAAACAAGTAATATCGGCTCGACGTTAAATATTACGGCCCTCACTCGCTTAATCTCTCTCTGCAGCCATCATCAGTCCGTTCCTTCATAGGTCTAGGTGTCAATTTAGAACCATCCAACACCCTCCCCCCCCTCAAAGACCCTGCTAAAATAACGGATTCAAATAGAAACGTATTCTTTACAAAAGGAAAAAAACTAAACACAATAGTAAACATTGATAGCGCCGACTATTAAATACAAATCAATGGTATGGGTTATTAATTTAAAACCATCACGTGTCGTCCAAAAGGTGCGGTCGAGTATATAGTTCGTGTGGTTTTTAACAAAAATCCGATGAGTCTAGACGACGACTGAAAACGATCGATCGTCGAATTGAAAATCAAGGAACAAAAACGTTTTCATATTATCGTCTCGTGGAAAAATCGACAGTTTTGTCTGGACTTCACACAAAGACCGTCCTCATTTAATTTTTTGTCTACGGTATTTCCGCAGGGTTCCGTCGCGCGGTTTCTCGGGCCTCCGGTCTCGCCGGAACACCCCCTACCGGTGCGGTTTTTCACGCGCGGTTCCTGCGTTCGGCTCGCGACACCGGGGCAACGATACCGTACGAGAACCGCGGCCGCGGCCGCCTCCCGGTGCAGCTCTACACGACTACCGTACGCGGTCGGGTCGTTCGCTCGGCGGGCGGCGGCTTCCTTGTCGGTTACGTTATATTTTATAATACGGTGAGGCATGGCGCGCGCGGTACACCGCGTACAGCGCGCGACGCATGTGCGGCGGCGACGACGGCCACGTCTCTCACGGTGAAACCATCACGTCTGTGACCTTTAACACTGACCTCGCGGGATCAAGGACTGCCGGGCCGTGTGCGTCCGCGTGGTGCGCGCGACTATAAGCGCGTTTGTGTGTGTGTGTGTGTGTGTGTGTGTACGTGTGTTTGTGCGTTTGACTTCTCAAAAGTCCGACAAGCGGCCGCGGAGGCATAAGGTGGAGGTCACATTCCGCTTGATCGTTCCACACACACACACACACACACATACACACACGCGCGCGCGCACACAAACACCGACTCGCGGGGCCCCCGAGCTACGACGTGCGATCGTACGTACCAGTCGTCCGCGTCGTTGTCGTCTCCGCCGCCGTCACTGCCTTTAAGACCGATCAAAACCAGATCGGATCAACCGGTTCGTTTGTGTGTGTGTGTGTGTGTGTATGTGTACAAGTATAAAATATAATATACCGTCGAAACTCAGTAAAAAAAAAAAAAAAAACTCGTCTTCGCCATAATATATAACTGCGGCGGCTACGGCGATTAGATCCGCCGTCAGATTCCTGTATATTATACAGAAACGTAACCTATCTGTACGGCATATATAGTTGTTTTGCTGTCCGAAGTTTTTTTTCGGTTTAGTTTTTTTTTTTTTTCCAAGTCAAAATGAGAATAAAAGAAGAAAAACAATCCAATTTAAAAAAAAAAAACAAAAAACAAAAACAAAAAAAGCAGCTCTTTTATGGTTTATTATTCTCTCGGTTTAAAAACGCCTCTGTAGGTACCGATATTTATTTATTTATTCTTTTTGGTTTTCCTCTTTCTTTACCGTCGGTCACGTTTCGCGTTTATCAATAGTATTTAGTGATAAACTATATTGTACATTAACGGTTTCGTTTTATGCAGGACAAAAAAAAAACCATCCTTTTCGGCTCGAATACAAAAGGCGATTCATTGAAATTTACTCGTTGTGAAAATGCTTATGGGACGAAAGAGAGGAAGAGGAAAACCGAAAGAGTGGTGGTTGAATGCGATTGGGTGTGATAAAAGGACGGTCTGTGTCCTGTGTGTATCGGAGGATGACGTGGGAGTTCGGGTCGAGCGAAAGTTTAGGACGAAGGCGAAGATAATGAAGACCTACCGGTCCATAGCCGGTAGTCGAAAACCAAAAAAAAACCGCCTTATAAGTGCATAAATCAACACCTATGACTCAATACTTTGCGAAAAAAAACCGCCACTTCAAATCGATTTCGATTGTCAGTGTAGGCGCTCATAGGTTTGAACTGCGATTTATTGTACAGCGCCGATCGCGTTTTCCAATTTTAATTAGTCGAAATGTGTAAAGTATAAATTATCGGGAGCAAATTATAATTGACGTGGGTTTTTTTTTTTTTAATTTTCTTTACAGTTACGGGTTTTACTCATTACAGTAATGGACTAGCCGTCCGTACGTTTCGTCCATAGTTTCGGACGGTGTATGGTTAAAATAATAATAATAAAAAATACGGCGACGGTGAGAGGCGAATCGATTAAAACAAAAAAAAAAAAAAAACGAAACGCGAAATTAGAGGGTTTTTTTTATATGTTCGTTGGATAGAAAAAAAAAAACAAACCTAATGGTCCCGTAAACTACACGACAATAGCGCGCGTTTTTTTTTGTCGCTACACGTGCGCTCGGAGACGGCAGCGGTTTCGTCGTCCAAACAGTGACGGCGGCGGGTTTATATTTTTTAATGATAACGAGGTTCGGTGTACATTATAGAGAAACGGAATTCGTTAACGGCGGTAAAAAAAAAAAAAACAAAAAAAAACCTAGACAATAGACTGTAAATTATTATTGTCGCCGATCCGGGGCTGAGGAAAGAGGAGCGATAAAATTACGAAAAAAAAAAAAAAAAAAAACGTTTGTTCGGGATGACCGTACGATTATTATTTTTTTATTATTATTATTATTTTTTTTTTCGGTTCGTCCGGTAGATTGAATATATTCAATAATAACATTATGACAGACCGAAAAGCGGTTGCAGTCTTACAGAGTGTCGTCGTAGATAAAAAAAAAAAAACCGTAATAGATTATTATAGTTGCCGGGTACGTGATCGGAAAGGGGTCGACCGGAGGGTCCGATGGCTGTAAAAACAAAAAAAGCCACGTAGGTACGCCGTCAAATCGGAATCCATCGCGCGCAGATACTATTGAATTTTATATTCTAGTTTATTTTTTTTATATATGTATACAAACCACGCGTGTATACTCATGACGTTCCTCAGAAACGTTTTTTTTTTTTTTTTCGCTATTTTATAGCCATCCGCGTGGAAAATTCCTCGATAAAAAAACAATAAATTATTAAACGAAGAATATTTTATTTTTATTTTTGGTCGCATCAAGTAACGTTCCGAGCAAGAAACAAAATGTAGTATTTCATGCTCTGCCGGTGACGCGAACGACCTTTTTTCGCTACTATTTGTTGCGCGTTTAGAGCTGTTTTGCTTCGGTTTACAAATGGTACGGCCAAACGCATCTGAAAAGACGACCGTATTCTGTTGTTGCCGTCGATCTTATCGCACAAATTCCGTTCGTTTCCAATAATTAGGTTATTTTTAAAACCGCGTACTGCACTGCACTATCGTTCGATTTCGGAAAATTGAATTGCGCGTGTTTTTCAATTTGTAATAATGCTATTTATGTTGGTCGGCTATTTTGCTATTTATTGTTTTGTTTAATTCGGCGAGTTCCTAGTGCGTACAAAAGCGCAAAAATTTAACGTTCTTAGTGTCCTAACGCCCCGTAACCTTTTCAATTAAGACACCGACCGCCGTTCGGATAAGTCTGATTAGGAGCGCAGTCGATCGGACTGACCGCAAGAGCATATGAAAACTCCGCGCGGCCGAACTCTGCCTACGAGTCTCCGAACGCGCCCCCGGACCGTTAACAGCAGCAGCAGGCCGAATCGAGCCGGCACGAAAGACCCGACAAAACGTTTACGCGACCATTTATATTTTGTGTCGATTCGACGTTTCGCGCGGTAAATCCCTTTTTCACGCGCCCGCTTATACGACTGCGAAAATCAACCCGTACGTTTTTCACGGTCCGGCGACAGCGTATTATTATTGTTTTTTTTTTTTTTTATACCAATCGTACGCACGACCGGTCAACGGGTTTACTATTATCATTATTGTTATCATTCCCCGTCCCGTAACATTGTTTTTCTGTCTCCTCCGCCGTCGCACCGCTGCGCCCGCGGTGGCCGCCTCGTTACCGATCTCGTCTTATTATTGCCGTACGGCCACGGCGGCGTACCTACGGGTGGATAGTCCGGGTTGTTCGCGCGCGCACACATTCTCGGACCGGTCGCGGTAGGCCACTGCGGCACTGGCCGGGCCCTCGAGAATAACACGACCGCGACGAGTCGGCGCCGCCGCGGCGAACGCCGGTTATAAACGTTTTATATTTTATAAATGCGGCGATTGCGGCGATTCGCAACGACGCGGCCGAGTATTATTGTGTACTCGCGTACGATAATAACAACAGTGACGCGTACGATAATAACAACAGTGACGCGTACGATACCGCGTGGCGCGGGTACGGTACGCGCACCGCCCGGCAGCCTATTAGCGGTCCGGTGTGCGTTTCGACACCGGGCCGGTCGACGCGGACTCGCCGCGCCCGTGTTCTACCGCGTGCCCGAGCGTCACGATATTGTGTTGCTGTTATCAATGTTATCAATGTCCCGATCGTCTCGTGGCGTTCGGCCGGTCGCCGCAACAGGGATTAACCGTAGATCTGTTACGCGTCACAGTGGAGACGGGTCACATGCGGTACAGGCGCACGCGTGTGGTTTAGTAACACCACCGCGGCGAAACCTGCAGCGGATCACGCAGTAAAATAACGCGGCGGTCGTATCCACAAACTTATACACAGGTTACCACTAGGGTTTATTAGAAGACTAAACGCCACCGTCGCCGCGGCAGGGCGTGAGAAACGGTTGACGGGCGGTAACAATTACCGGGTGAGGATAAAATACGACTAAAAGTCGTTCTGCGATCGATTGAACCCGCGACAACAGCAATAACGGTTTGTGATCAGTGCCGTGCCAGTGCGCCGGGCCACCGTCGACGCTTCGAAAACGGAGATCGGTTCCCGGGTGCTGAAACGGACACCGGACCGCGTGTACGGCACCCGGTACCGTCGGGTGTCCGCCGCGTGACCCCCGACAACGCGACCCGTCGGAAAACTGCTCCGGGAACTCCGCGGCGTCACTGCGCGCGGTAATAACAATTAGGCACCCGGCCGGCGTACGCCACCGTACCCCGCCCGACCCGACCGCCGGCACCCGCACCTGCGGATGAGATCGCGTGCCCGGCCGCCTCCGGACCGTGTAATTTTCAGGTCTCGTCCGGACCTGCCTCTCCGCGCGCGATTGTTCTTTCGCCTGACTCCCCCCCCCCCATCATCCCATTCCCCTCCACTTTTCGCCGCGGATTGTGTACCCGAAAAATCGCTCCCGGCCGCGGTTATAATATTATTATTATTATTATTATTATCGCCGTATCGTAGCAATTGTTGTCGGTGTGCGCGGGACACGAGAATTGTTACGGGGAAGAGAGTAACAGCAAAAAAAAAAAAAACCCACCGTACCGCGGTAAGTATAATTATATCCCGCCCGTTTTGTTTTGTTGTTTTTTTTTTTTTTTTCGGAGCCCCCGGCAGCAAACCGTGCACCTATAATATACAATAACCGGGGGCTAGGGGGATGGTGGAGGGGAAATCGCGTGAATCGCCACGTTTTTATACGCGGGTATTATTTTAGCCGGTCCGGGTCCGCGATTTGGAAACGGTTTTTTTTTTTTACGGGTTTTTTCTCTATTTTTTTTTTTTTTTTTTTGACCGACCGGTTTAGATTACCGATAAAAAATTAACCCGGGGTAACAGCCGCCGAAAACAATATTATACACGACATTATTTTTCCCCGTCGGCCGGCGAACCTCCAAACCCGGTCGACCCGCGTGCCGAATCACACGCGTATATAATATTATATTATTACTGTATTATAGATGTATCCGTTGTAAATCAATATTCGGATATTATGCGATTATGTTGCGGCGGTTTAAAAAAAAAAAAAAAAAATATATCGTCGAGCGGTCACCGACGACGGAACGATAATATTACGATAATTAATCGGTGCCCGTACGGCCGGCGGAGATTCGATTTTCGATAAAACCGCCGTAATATAATAATAATAAAAAAAAAAAAATGTTATTGGCATGCGTTTTCGAAATATTGT